AAGGCTGTATTGAACCCTTGTGGTGCTGTATGTCCAGTTTTCCAGTTCTTCTTTAGCTCCAGTTTTAATTTGGCCACAACCAGGTGATGATCTGAAGCTATGTCCGCTCCTCTCCTGGTTTTCACATCTTCCATTGTCCTTCGGAACTTTTTATTGATGCAAATATGATCTATCTGGTTCTCTGTGGTGTGGTGTGGTCCGGTGAGATCCATGTAGCTTTGTGTATACGTTTGTGTGAAAATATTGTACCGCCTATGACCGATTTATTGAATGCACACAGATTTGCAAATCTTTCCCCGTTTTCGTTTCTCTCTCCCAGTCCATGTAGTCCCATGATGTCTTCATATCCGGTGTTGTCCATTCCGACTTTGGCGTTCAGATCTCCCATGAAAATGGTGAGGTCCTTTCTTGGGCACTTCTCTATGATTGATTGCAGCCTCTCATAGAATTGATCTTTAACGTCGTCGTTGCTATCATTGGTGGGTGCATAACATTGGATAATGTTCATTGTGATCCCCTCGTTCTTTGTTTTGAATGATGCTTTGATGATTCTGGATCCGTGAGATTCCCATCCAACCAGTGCATTTCGTGCTACTTTGGATAGCATTAGAGCAACTCCCTGAGTGTGTGGAGCATTTTCCTCTTTGTGATCGGAGTATAGCAGCATCTCTCCCGTATTTAGCCTTTGTTGTCCAGCTTGGGTCCAATGGGTTTCACTGATTCCGAGTACTGCCAAGTTGTATCTCCTCATTTCTGTTGCTATTTGATTGGTCTTCCCGTTCTCCCACACTGTTCGGACGTTCCATGTACCTATAAAAATTGTTGCTCTGGTTGTTAGAAGGGGCATCGGCCTCGTGGCTTCCGAAGGAACTCGACTTTCACCATGAAGCGTCATATTACCTCTAACTCCCAGGGCAGAGTTTAAATGGTCTGAGTTATTTTTTCTGATTAGCGTTTTTTTAGCGAGTTAGTTTTCTACGGGATGGGGACGCTAACCCCATGCCCAACCCTCCTCCTTTACCCGGGCTTGGGACCGGCAGTAACTCTGGAAGAGCTACAGGCGGAGTTACTACTGCTATCATTAGGCTAATAAATTAATTCTGTTGATTAGTTGCTCTTTTCTTCCCTTTTTTTCTTTTCGTCAAGCTCAATAATTTATTTTTGTCAAATGAACGTAGATCGCTTCACGATTTCAATGAATATCAACAATCTCCATAACCCTATACTAATAATTTAATTGTATTTTGTGGTAGTATCTAACAATAGATCGTATTTTAACAAGAAAGTCTTTTATTTGAATATGTGTATATTTGCTATTCCTTCAACATGGTACAAATAGATTTTAATAGTAAATATATACATTTGTTTTCTTTTTTAATGCATTCCGTATCAGTTTTGATACTATTGATAATCGTTGTCCCTCAGTACTCTCTTTCATACCATATATTCACAATTCTTTAAGAAAGGGATGATATAAATGAATTTGTTGAATATAACAAGGAATTATTGCTTAGATGGAGATTAATTAACAATATTGTAGAATACCTTCTATGTTTCTTAAGATTCCTTTTTCTATAGAAGATAATTTTATGCAGTTTAAAATTAAATAGATTTCGCACACACGAATTTCTTATATTGTTAATTAGAAGTTAGTCTGTCATAATCAAAGTAGAGCGTGGCACAAATATTAGTTCATAAATACCATATTAACACGACGAAAGAATCAAAATGATTTACTAACAATAGCCATGAGAAAGAATAAAAATTGGAAATATGATTCGAAAGTTAAAATAAAAAGGTAGTTATAGAAGAACCAAGGTAAAAATTGAATGTATCTGTTCTACTGTGGTCGTTTTTGAGTCCTTTTAGCTAAAGTTTCCAACCACTTATCATGTTCATCAAACAAACAGCAAACTTATAGTGAGGTTACTTGATATATATTTTCTTTAACAACATTGTTTATCGAGGATAGTCAGATTTGAATGAGAATATTTTTCGTTATAGACTAATGTTAGCTCTATAAGCCATTTAGAAAACTTTGGACAGATGTTTCAAAATAGCTTTAACTATTCAGTAATACCTACCCAATAGTGACCCTAAGCTTTCATAATTAGCACGATACATATAATGACTACTAAGCAGAAATCCAACAGTCTGTGTTTTTGGTTTTATTCGATTCATGGTATTGTACAGTGACCACCCAATACTGTTGAAGGAGGCATCCATCCATTCGGGGCAGTCTCTGGTATGATTCCACGTTTATTGTGATTTTCAAAGGTATTTCTCATCACTGATCAAAAACTAGGAAATCTTCGAGAAATCATTTCCCTAACATTTCGTGATAGTTCTGTACGATGTGCACAGTCTTTGACGAAAATATCCCATGTATTTCACTTTAGATTGTTTTTCTGCCTTATTTTAGATTATCAAAATGGTCATATACTTTATTGGTTTACTTACAACCTTAAGTCATTAATCAATGTCATCTACCATGCAATTTTAAACAAACTCGATAACATACCATTATGGTTTTAGTACTTATGCAATTTATGCCAATATATTCTACTGTGCGTAATACACACATAGTTGAATAAATGTACGAACTAAGCTCCCTAGGTTCGTTATCATAGACATAAATAAACCAAACGACAAGTTTCGTTGTACTGAAATGACAAAACTATGAAACCACAGAGGAAAAAGTGCATAAGCCACTAACGAAGAAAGTGTTGGAGATGGTAGATACCTAAAAATCGCTTGTTAAACGTCTCATTTTTGTAATTTCATTATGAAGATTTGAATTTTTTGTTTTCGCGCCAAAAGCGCGAAGGAAGAACTATAAATGCCATTGGTTCGTTTCCTCTTTTAGTACGCTATTTTGTGACTTGCCAAGGACGTTTTGTACTGTTGTGCGCTTGTTTGTTCGTTCTTTCGGGCTGCTTGTAGAATATATATTTTCCCGTTTGAACCTGTTCTTCGCCCTCTATAATTAACAGAGCTGGGACTCAATAGAATCGTGTAGCTTATATTGTTGTTGTGCTGCTTACTTTCGTTTCGTTTACCGGTCCTATATATAACAGTAAATAACACATTTCCATGTATCAATATCAAAGATTGACTTGTTAATTTTAAATAAATTATGTATTAGAGAAAGTGTTAATAACATAATAGTGATAGATTTGTGATATCTCAATAAGTAGAAATCACAATTTAAAACATTTCACGGTGTAGTTTAAATACTACTTAAATTTGTGTCAATTTGATTCAGTCATTTACTTTGAAAAATCGACATTAACTCATGAAAAGTTTTTTTTGTAAATGAGTTTCTACTCATTAAGTTACCAAAAATATATTATTATTTTATTACATGTTCACATGCTAGTGATTAGGTCAAACCTTACAGCTTTCTCATCGCGTATTACGGTATTTTAAAACATTTGTACTTAGATTTGTAGAATTATGGTCTACTTCGACATTAGTACTGCTCTAATAATAGACCTAATCCTAAAAATGTAGATTTATTATGATGTAACTGCCTAATCTATGAGATCTTACTTGGAAGTCACATCATTGTCTACCCAGATTTATCGCGTTGTAACAATCATCAATACATGATGAGGAACACATTTAAACTGGAGACACAATAATATATTTAATATGGATAAAAATAATGTTACTTAAGTAAGACCACGCCTGCAAGATCGAGCCATGCCATCCGATCAATTCGAATTAATTGGATTTATTCTTCCCGACTTCCTCATCGTTGGGTTTTTTCTCCGCGTTAACTGTTGAATATCTATTTTCTTAATTGTCTCATGCTCAGCTATGAAGATTGTCTGATTAGGGCCCAGTGCCACTACAGATTCCCATGCACGATTTCTAATGTACTTATCTCGTCTCATAAGATATATTAGGGGAAATATGTGGAGCGCATAGTTTACATTTGATAAAACTTGGTAATAATTGCCAGTTATTTATAAGACTTTAAGTGTCTGCCATCAATTATATTACTAATAACGTCAAAACATTCACCAGTTATCTCATCAATAGCTTTCTATACTGTACCAAAATTAGCACAATCTTTTCTCACATGTCCGGGAAAACATAATAACCAGCCATATAGAATCATAATCTATATACAAGATTTTACTAGTCATAAAATTATATATCAAATAATTCCAGAAACATGTATTTTCATAATATAAATCATACAAAACAAATTTCTTTACTATTGATAGAACATTGGAAGATCAGGAGAGCTTTGAAAAAAGCTTTCATTAAGTTGAATATCATCTAACAATAATTCTAATCGTGGATAGCAGTGATATTAGTTGTATTTATATTTTTACTAATGTTTGATTGAGAAATAGGTTTTTTCTAACTTCTACAAAAGTGTAGAGAGTATAACGTCGACTAGTAATTAATTTATATGAAATGACACTTCAGGTATAAATACAGTCAAACGATTAATTACGCCGATAGTGTGCTTCTATAATACATAGTGTACACCAATAATGTCTTTTGTTTAAAAACTATCAACACTATTCCACTACATACACTGATACTGTTATCTTTGATTAATTTACATAATAGAATTATACGCATAAATGAGCTTTGTAAATCTCTATTATTGTGTTATGCGCTACCTATGTGAACAGATATAAGTAGTATTCAGCAGGGATATGAAGTAAAATGCTTACTAGCAGAAGATTAAACTAAAAAGAACTAAAAGAGAAACGGAAAGCAATCGGAATAACACCAGAATTGGAAGAACGATGGAGTATGTAAAGTAAATTCAAGAAAGACGTGCAAATGATGTATTTAATGTACGATTTTCATATTTTACAAAGACACTGGGATTTCGTATAAAACAATAAGTTGGTTTACCGTACCTGAGTCTTTGCTCGCTACACTATAACATACTTTTATTGATAATAGTCAATTGTAATTTACTTTGTCATAAAAAATATACTTTTTTTTTATTATTGTTTTGCATTTATTAGATTTCTAGTGATGGATTAGATTTACAAGTTGGTAATGATCTCCTTCAATTGAATAGTCGTGGTCAGATTTACTCACTGGAGTTACCACTCGATACATTTGTCAATGAAGAAACAACTGTAGCTGAGTTTAATCGAAATACAAAAGTAAATCTATTTTTTCCTAATACATACAGTTACATTGCTTTTATTCTTCGATGAAGTTCTTCAACTAATCAGTTGCTGACTAATTTCATTCAGTATGGTGATTTGTGGAGATTGTATTATTTTAACAATTAAATTCACGGGTCGGTCTAAGCTAGACCACCATTGAAAACCTGGAAATACGGTGCTTCATAACGTCCATTCTACCTAACTTTTCTATTAACCGATTTGAACTTTAATGTACGTATTCACTTACAATGGATTCATTAATAATTCGTCAAACTGATAATCCTATATGAAGAATTATTGGTCAACGTTTATATACCTACTTGTAGATTGTATTCATTAAAAGTTGATTTCATTTGGTGTACCACTGAAAACCAAGTAGTATTGGGCAGAGAATTGTTGAGGAATTCAGTACAAATACGAAACAGTTGTCCAGTACTCTATGGTTTTTCCTTTGGTATTGTGAGATTAATCTGTGATGAATACAGCCTACAAGTTACCTTTTCTCCACAAAACCTCTTCGATTTAAAGTATGTGCTTTTCGTTACGGTCATTGGTTACTGTTGAATAATCATTAGCTATCTGATGATTAACTCGATCTTGCTATCTTTGTTGAAGATTCGGTGTATGAATAATAATAATAATAATAATAATAATAATAATAATATTAATAGCTTTCTCTCTCTCTCTCTCTCTCTCTCTCTCTCTCTCTATATATATATATATATATATATATATATATATATATATATATATATATATATCCTAGTCTTACTCTAGTCACTATATCAGATTGGCAAAGGGGTGATTAGTGATCCACGGTTATTTCTGGCGTTCATGCTCTCATCACTTTGTTTATTCAGAAATTTACGCATAATATAAAATAGGTACTCTCAATCGTTCCATCCTCGAACAATTGAGTGTTGGACATTTTTCATAACTTATACTCATCCAACCACCAGTGCTATTGTGTATTATCTGTTATGAACTTTAAGTTCACAAAACCCGTATCCTATAATCATGAAAGTTTCAGAAATGTTTTTTTTTAAAGTTATCTTGTCAATCATTAGATCCTCTCCTTCTATCATATCTGTCATTCATGAATATATTAAATCATGAATATTGTGTTCTATAGAATTTCCTGACGTACGATTTTTCTATGTACATTATCGATAATATCTATCGGTTAATTTTTAAAATAAGAACATGTGATTTAGTATTTAATCAATTGGAAAATTTACAGGTACAATTCTTGTGGGTCAAAACTTCTCAATTTAAAAAAAGTAAACAGTATATACTTTATTGAAGTTATCTACTATATAATTCATTTCCTTCAAATCAATTTACAATGCTACACAGTGATGTTGAGTGCTGTTAGAGGTATATACACAACCTTTCTTTTTATGTATTACTACCATTGAATAACTACTTCTATGAATTCGGTGTTCATCCTGTTATTCTAATAAGGTGTGGCAACTTGGACCGATGCATATATGTGTCTGGTCCTACGTTGTAGCTGACTGACTGATAAAACAACAGTATTTGAAAACGTTGAACATATGAATATTTCAAATGCTACCACAGTCTAGATGATCTAAAAAAATTAATTAGTCGGTTATTTCTTAACCGAATGTACTTGTATATGGTGATACACGTTCGATAATACACCTTTCACTTGAAGTATTGTTATGATAACACTGAAATTTAAGGGGTGTACTAGAAATGTCATTTTCGAATAACAGAAATTAAGTTAACAACATTTTACTAATTTCATTGAATTATCGTATACTAATGCCTATGCTTTTGTTTGTCATGTATTAATTTTAATATAATGCAATCCGATACCTGAAACAGATCAAATATATATAACTTACAAATATCCTTTACTTTTAAAAACCATGTTTCACTGTAATAGAGTAAAACTGAATGAACTGCTATTTAGTATACTCATTCTTGAAAGACTAAAGTTAACGGATTTGTTCTAGTTTTAGAACCTTCCGCGTTAATTAGTTAGTTATTCTCTCTGTATGTTGGATTACCAGTAAATTATTTGATTAGGATCAGTATAAGTCAGTAAATTATTATTCAACTTATTGAAGTCAAACAGCTTTGTTGGAAATCTACAGAATGAAATGTGTTCCGTTTGCTTTATGAACTGATTAGAATTTTCTGTCAATAGATTTTGATATTACGTAATTTTTTTAAAATTTACATTGAAAAAGTTCTCAGAATTCTGATGTTCAGAACTTTACGCTTATGTATCCAGGCTTTTGTGAATCCTCCTTCCCATTTCCCCTTTTTCAATACTTTCTTTTAATACATACTTCCCTTTAAAAATAAGAAACGTTGTGTAGTAAAATCTGGGACTCGTATCTTGTCTTATTCGGAACTCTTCAACATCTCAGTGTTGATGTTCACATTGAGACCCGTTTTACAAATCATTGACTGTTTAGGTTCAAATGAACAACACAGCGGGGTTTTGAGCAAAAGGTATCTTTTGCTTGTTTCAGTCTAGATATTAATACTTCGATCATCCTACTTCCATCGGATGAGTCCTAAATATGACGAAACGCACTTGTTGTATTCTACTACTAACTACTAAACAAATACTGTAATTATATGGCACTATCGAAGTAGTTTACTCAGGATTGACGTATGTCAGAAGGGGTTAATCAGTCTCAGTCCCCAGATTCAATAACTATAGTATTCAAGTTTTCAAAATAAAATTCTATATAGTTATTCTATAGAAATTTTCATTTTTAAAAATGTGATTGACTTTTTATGTATGATATTGTTGTTATGATGATTGTCATTTCTTCACTTTTTTTTTCTTTTTGTATTCTTTTGCTCGCATCTTTCGTTATAAAATCAAGTATCTACAATTTTTATTTTATTTGACTGTGTGTATGCATGTGTGTAGTATTGTATTCGTTTTTTTATTAAACTGTTTACGTTCGTTTCTCTCACCAATGGATTTGTTTGACTTAGTTTATTTCGTTGTTATATCCTAATACACATTGTATGTATACTTGTATATTATTCGATATAATATTCACACTTTATTCTCATATATATTTAAAACGTTAATTATAATGAACATGTAAAGATAAAAGTTTCTTTTCTCAACTTCTACAGTTTCTTTTTAAATTTATTTGTTTATTTTGAAAGAAGAAAAGTTAGTACCCACATTTTTTGTTTACTCTAGTCAAAATATATATTATTAGTAATTATATATGAAGTAGAGATGGAAAGCGTCAATCTGAACATTGAACTATATGTTATATCGTGTGTGGAATGAATTGTAACGTCAGATTTCTCTTTCTGACAATCAATGTTTCCTATTATTTATTTATTTAATTGTATTTTAACTGTTGTTGTATACATTCGTGTTGTCTAATTTTCCGTTTGTTATACTTTGTGTAATATAAAATTAATTCATTCCTTGTTTTCATCAAAAAATTATGAATTTTTATGAAGGGATCTTATGGAGATCGATTAAATTTGTACGACGATATTAGCCACAGATTGAGTCCAGTTCGGCTACCATGGAAACATGGAGAACACCTTAGACGCTTTTTTCTATTCTATATGTGACTCCCAAGCCATCCACAATTACTACCCTTCCATGAATCATCGAAACTAAGAAATTCATATTTCATATGTGATTGAAGCATCAGTGTAACAGTAGTTAATTTGTTAAAGTCTCGTTGCGGTTTCTGATATGCCATTTATGTATGGTAGGGTGACCCGTTTGTTGATTTCTGTGCTTGATTTGGGCTCTAATGCTGCATGTGGTTGGTATTTTTTTATGTTGATTGGGTAGCCATTCTTTTGAAATACGTCCTTCAGGCATTTCTCTTCCTTTCTTCGTGCTGCCAGTGTGCTGCACTATGTCCTCGCCCTCTTGAACTGCTAAAAACCTTCAGCATAGGTGTGGCACACAAACCGATAAAATCACTACAGTCAATCCTATGCAAACCAAAGGATGAAATAAAAAAAGAAGATAAATCAAACATCATCTACAAAATAAATTGTGCCAACTGCGACAAACACTACATCGGACAAAGCGGACGCCACCTTCGCCTACATGCACATCAATTAGCAGTCAAACGTCATGATATCTCCCCACTTATATCAATACACGTAGACAACTGCAGACACACATTCGATTGGAAAAATGTGGAAGTCTTGGACAGAGAATTTTCAGAAGCCTGGCACTCAGGTCAATCAGCAATCAACAAACACATTGAAATCGATCCAATTTATCAACCAATCAAGAAAATTATACACAAATATAGGAACAAGAATCAAACCAATAGGACACACAACCAAAATAAAGAAGTAAACAATGGCAAATTTAAAGTCAATAAGAACCAATCAACATCAAGGTGTACAGAACAAGCTGTGAAACGCATATGGAGAAATTTGAACACTTTACTTCTATCTGAAGTTTGGGCTGATGATGTCGTTCAGAAGAACGATGAAAGCTCCACGCCCAAAACATCCAGCTCAGAGAACAAAACTCTATCAAAATGGTTGGTAAGTAAACAGTAACAAAGCTTATAAGAAGATACATATAGCGGGTAAAGCACTAAACGTATCTTTGAAGAGAGAATTGTTTCTCTTTTCTCTTCTCAAACATCTTTCTAAGGAACATATTCCGATAAGATCAAATCACTATATATATATATATATATATATATATATATATATATATATATATATATTGATTTGTTTTTATTTCTTTTTTTATTGATCATACTCTAATATTTGTTGATTTTTATCAATTTCCTGTCAGTCTTCTACCTTAAAATCTACTTGTTCATTATTGTGTCCACCAATCATTAATGTAATACTGCATACTGTGTAAGATTTATTGTCCATGTGAATCGAATTGAATGCTAACTTTTTTTCTTGTGTTTGTCGGTAGAGGTTAATATGTTAGTTATTGAGTTTGTTTGTTTGTCCTATATTTATTTTCACCTTGCAATAATCCAGTGATAGTCATATTGTTTGTTATTTTCATCTATGAATAACTTCTTTTCCTCCACTGATATTCATCATTGTCTATTTTCTACTTTTATTTGTTTATTCAGATTGAGCTGATTGTGTATTAATATTTTTCAAAATCTTATTTTTTGTCGGGCTTATTTTTCCTTCCGTTTTTCTTTATTCTCGTCCATTTTCCTTGATACTTGTGGGTCCATATATAATAACAATATTACTATTATTATAGTTATTATTACAGTTACGATTAATACACAGATGTTTAGTTACCATTATTGATGTGAACCGGGAAACAAGAAACAAGAAGACAAGACAACTGGAACATTACTCGATCTATTTCCCTGACCACTGAACTCACTGGATCCAGTGAATTCAGTGAATCCAGTGGGTTCAGTGGTCAGGGAAATAGATCGAGTAGTGTTCCAGTTGTCTTGTCTTCTCTCTCATTCGTGTGCTTGCCCACCAATCAGGTGACAGAATAGTTTTCTTCTCTCTACCCCATCTCGAACTCACGCGTACTAGT